AACAATGATATTAAAAATCAAAGTAGAATAACAAACATAAGCAATGGCGAAACATCGTCACAAAGATAGTAAAATATCATGATAAGGATTGCAAAACATCAATTTAGATGATAAAACATCACACATAACAATGATATTAAAAATTAAAGTAGGATAACAAACATAAGTGATGGCGAAACATAGACACAAAGATAGTAAAATATCATGGTAATGATGGTAAAACATTAACTTAGATGATAAAACATCACACCTAACAATGATATTAAAAATAAAATGACGAACATATGCGATGCCGAAACATCGATACAAAGATAGCAAAATATCATGGTGAAGGCAGTAAGATGGAAAGTTAAAAAGGTTTAAAACAAAGCCAAAAGACACACAAATAATTAAGATTGGTTTGTATTTTTTACCTTGAAGAAGAATTTAAATTCATTAGAGATGTTTTATGATTTGCCAAGAAAAAGAAAGTTTTTTGTTTTACGATGCAATATGCAAAAAAGAGAAAACAACTATGGGAGACTATCATAATCTCTAGCCCTAGTGTAATTATGCAATGATGGACCTACGTCAAGGAAGAAAGAGAAATATCTACCTAAGTGAGCATACATGGATAGATATCCTAATGTCTAGCTCGAAGACTAATTCTACACGAGCAATCCTAAAGGAGCATGACATATCAAACAAGTGTTTTGGCAAAAGCACACAATCATGGTAAACTGACTCAGGGGATGAAGGTATGAAGAGAAAATGCTTTAGCTAAGGGGAGCGGATCACCCGAAGCAAACAAGCGGGAGACTGAGATGAAATAAAAAAGAAAAGCAATGTTTTAGCCAAGGGGAGCGGATCACCCGAAGCAAACAAGCGGGTAGCGAAGTGTCAGCAATGGCTATTGCGAACTCTTGACAAAGTGTGAGGGTTTGATTGTAAAACCCTTTTCCACTTGTCCGACTCGATACACATGATCTGCAGGAATACAAAGCATCGATGTATAACTTGAGCTAAGGTTGATACAGACGAAATGCATGGGTCGATTGCGAACCCTTTCCGCTTGCCTCCTTTTGAGAACTTATCAGGGTGGGGGAATATGCGAGCACAAATGTAAATACACCTGCAAAATACCTACTTCAAAGGTAGGATTTTAAATAAACACAAGTAGCACACATAATGCACATAATGCAGAATTGCCCTAAACATGTCTTTAAATAAACCAGAGGGATTCTTGACATGATCAACAATGGAAATCCCCGTCATATATCTCTATTCCTACTTCTCATGGCAAGGAAAACGGTAAAATACCTACTTGGAATGATCTCTAGAAAGCAATAAGATGCGGGAAGGAAAATAGAAGGGAAATATACCAAACGGGTAACAATCTGTAGATACTAAGCAATGACAAAGAAACTCGGAAAACTTCACGAGCTGCTATCACCAATAAAGAAAATACCATCAACATAAGCGTCCACGCATTAAACAAATCAAGATCGGAATGCGTGACATACACATCTAAATATCAAAAGTACACCCACATGAAACACAGTTCATACAATGTGCGCAAACAATAATCACACGGTGTAATATGTCGTAGACACAACCGTGTAATGCAAGGGTACCTGCATAAAACAAGATTTATACAAGAATAAAATCGTCTTGCGCATCATATACAAATTTCAACTAAGTGATTGCATAATGTGCCTTTCAACCAATAATCATGTGCTAATTAAAGGTTGAAGGCCTAACAATGTACCTTGCAAAATATTCATAAAAAGAATTAGAATTAACAAGGCAATATGTGCAAACATGCATCAAAACAAAGTAAAAATTGTTGTTTCTGTCTGGGTAACCGGTTACCATAACTCAAAAAGTTAAGGAAAACGCTACTGTTTTGAGGTAACTGGTTACCATAACTGGGTAACCGGTTACCATAACTCAAAAAGTTGAGGAAAACACTATTGTTTTGAAGTAACCGGTTACCATAACTCAAAAAGTTAAGGAAAACACTATTGTTTTGAGGTAACCGGTTACCATAACTGGGTAACTGGTTACCGAGTGCAAATGTTCAAATTTCAGTTACGTGGAAAAGGTGGTAACCGGTTACCATAACTGGGTAACCGGTTACCATAACTGGGTAACTGGTTTCCCGCAGGCAGAAAGTAGCTTTTTTTTCAACTTTTTGAGGTTTTGGCTCATGGTTTAGGCAATTGATCAAACACGAAACCCCACACATTCAATACATGATTTTGTATAATTCAAGGTCTAGATTCAAACTCCACATGCTTGATTAAGATCAAGAATTAAACCTCATGCAACATCATCCATTTATTTCATCAATTAAGCATTATCGTGAGAATCAAACTTAATTCAAAAAATAACTTAATTAAACTATCCGATTCAAGATTTACACATGATGATCGCATAAAATCACAATTCTAGGCTTAGATTTATATTTTAAATTCAAAAATCAACCTAGGTTCAATCTATGCTTGATCAAAAAGTGCTTCTCAAATAATCACTTATTTCAAAAGTGTTTAATTCAAGAAAACTCACCGATAGAAGTGAAGAGGAGGCTTAGGTAAAGAGATCGCCACGAACGAATCACCGATCAGAGAAGAATTTCTCTTGATCTTGACTTTCAAATCTTGATCAAATTATTGTGTTCTTGATGAAAAAGTTGTAGAACTTTGATTTGATATCTTAGAGAATTGAGAGAAAATATTTTTATCTTTATGAGAATTTGTGAATTATGAGAGTCCATCTTTTAACAAAAATCAGATTTGAGATTATATACATGGGTTAATTGGGTTTTGGATGTGCAATTGGATTGAGCCTTGACTTGAAAGTGTGAGCCCGACACGTATCAAAAGTGCCACATCATCATCCGTACGGAATCTTCAAAAAGTCCCAACACAAAAAATGAAGATAATCAAATTCGTGATGCATCTCCGAAAGAACGGGCTCAATATCTTGGATAAACGATGAGGAAGTTATGAATTTTTGAAGTTTCACTGGCATTGTGTCAGACAAAAGTAATTTCCTGTACAGAATTTTATTACATCATACGTGAAGAAGACCAAAAACGAGAACCTTTGAGTCACCGTTTGCTTTTAGCATCTGAAAGTAAGTTGTAGTAGACGAAATTCTTGAACCAACGCCACCAGACCCAGTTCAATACGATAAAGATCGAGTGAGATATGGATTTTACCGTATCACATGTCAATACAAATGAATTCCGGTTCAGCGCCAATATGTCTTCAAAAACTCAAAATCAACGGGTCCTTCCTTTGTGAATCAGCTTTTAGCCTCCAAAAACGACATCAAGATGACATCGAAACGAAATTTTGGCAATCGAAACCGCGCGCATACGACAATCATCCAAAAGTTTGAATTTTTTAGCGCACACGAAATAATAGTTCAACCCATTTTTCCTTTGTATTTTTCACTGTATAACTTCCTAAAGAATGGCGTATTCAGAGACTTTTCTTTGAGATTCAGCTTTTGGTCCGAACACGAAAGTTGAAGAGAACGTTGAGACGGTTTCATAACCTCAAGAATAAATCCAAAACAACTTTTCAAACGGGAGATATGAATTTCCAAACTCAAATCAGCTGAAAAACTGTTTCCTATTTGCACCGCTTAAAATTCACCAAAAACACTCAAATCTTTCGCAACTCGACATGCGTTGAACAAATACATGAGTTTTCTTGTGTTTGACAAAAATACCTTTATCCCATGAGCACGGATCCTATGATAGGCATATATGTGCATGTTAACAAAATATAAGTCAATTAGAGATAGCAAATGAAGAGGACAAATTTTGGAGTACAACACTCCTTCTAATTTTTGGCCTAAAATGACCTAAAATATGTTGTCTAAAAAATATCAAATTTATGACACGGTTGCTGCTTAAAAAGTATCAGGGAGTGTTACGGAGATGTATTTCTGGATACACCCAAATAAATATTTGAAGAAGAATTTCCGGATTCGTTTTTTGCAAAAATAAGGCGTATGGCTGAATTACAAAGGACTTATGTGATTTAAACGCGTTCGAAGATGCATCATCGAACAAATTAAGAATATTTTTAAATTTTCAAAAGTTTGGATCACACTCAATCAAATGAAAAGAGTATTCCTCAATATGTATATCCAAAAGATAAAATAAATCCTCAATATTTTTGCCAATGCCCATTCTTAAAAGAAAAGACAGAGATATCATTTTCTAAGGTGGTGGAAATGTCTTCCTCATAGAAATAGAAAATCCAAAGGAAGAGGTCCCTGATATGAATGTACAAGGACCTGAAATCTATAATAAGAATGAGCAAGGACTTGAAACACTTAAAGAAAGTGTGCAAGAACCTAAAGCATTTGAAGAAAGAGCTAAGCTAGAGTATATGGTAGTGTCAAATGATCTCCTTAGAGTTAAAGGGAGGTGAATTTGATGGTTACAATGATTTCCAAGATATTGAATTTTTTATATCTTATGCAACTAAAAGACATATAGGCTCATGGAAGTTCATAACAAATAAATGGAAGAAACCTACTCTTCCCGTAGCGAATTATAAATAAATTTAACTTTTTAAATATATTTGACAATTAATATATACCGCCCATATATTATGGACTTCATATATTAATTGTCAAATGTGAAATTATATTTATTCAAAATTTGGAACATTTAAATGCAAATATTTAAATCAGTAGCCATTGATTTGATGGTGTAATGTACCTCTTTCAACAACAATCTATGGAATCAACTATCATTTTACAAATGTTACTTTTCTTCTCTCTTACTAATACAAAGACTTAGTGCCCCAAGTGAACATCCATATAAAGTAATCTAATGAAAATTAATGTCAAAAGAAAATGTTAACAAGACATAGGAAACCTACCCTGCACTTTACTACTATATAACCATTACAAATATGGATGCCACTGAAAAAATGAAGAAAAAAAAGGAGTGGATGGATTTACAACATGGTGATTAATCAGAGCTGCATTGAGGATCAAGAATAATCATGCAAAAATTGGAAGGCCGGACTCTCGAGTAATTCTGCAGGAGGATTTACTTTCGGAATTGTCTTGTCTTTTTGAGAATGAGAAACCTCTTCAACAATAATAGGAAGACTGCAGTTTCAAAACAATCTGATCAGTGTCCCGGCCTTAAAGACGTCAAAGACTCTAAATTTCATATCTGCGTGTGCATGTGCATGTGTGTTACATGAAGTTTACCTTGAATTGTCTTCCAACAAGAAGGATTTGTCATCATCACCTACATCATCTGTCATTAGCAGCTTTAATCTAGTAGTTACCTGCACAAGTATATAGTGGTAATTACTATTAACAAAATCTATTCAGAGAAAAAGGAATTTCGTTTTACGTTTATCGTATTTTGCAGCTTACATCTGTTGATACACTTTTCGTGTTCTCATTTTCATTTTCATCCGAGTTTAGTGTACATAGTCTATAAAGCTGTTGAGAACTCAAGACCTGAATTCAGCATATGCAGATGTTAGAGAAACATTAAATCGACGTAATGTATTCAACACTTTAGCTTACACTTGTTATATAACATTTATTTATATTAGACGAAAACACTTACAGGGCAGATGTCATTTGTGAGATCATCATAGGATATTTCATCCTTCTCTTGAGCAACCTGGAGAAATGATTGCAACCGAATTAAGACGGAGAGAAACATGTGCTCGAGGGTTTAGGAAATTTATTCTATTGCACTATAAAGAAAAAGAGTTATCAGTAGAAGTGATCGGCGTACCAAGAATCTAACTGCTTGTTTCGAATGGTTGAGTTCATCCAAAGATGAGCCAGCATACTGCAGCAACAGGAACAGTTATTTGCTAAATAAAAGTTGACATTTGATTCCAATGCGCCTATGCGCTATGCGAGTTAGAAAAGTGTGAAGATAGTGCTTACCTCTTCGGTTACTTCAATGCACCATAATTCTAGTTCAGCTAACCCTGATTTTATATATTCCTCGTTGTCGAATGTGCAGCATTCTTTATGCAATAGAAGGCTAGAGAACAAAACATAATTCGAGATAATTATATAGACTAAAAACATATTTAACCATTAATGTTTTCCGATAAAACGAGTGAAATGAAACAAGACACTTACCTGTTAAATATTTCGGCGTTGATATATTGAAACGTCTGATTAAATACCTTTTGAATTAGAATGGGAGGCACCTGAGACGAAGCATGAAAAAACAGTTTGCTCAACTTTATATCAAAGGACTCAAAACAAAAAGATGTGAAGATTCTAATTCACTTCACTATCAAACCTTTACATACATAATTTTCTTTTAGAATCTTGAGAAATTTATTAAGACATTCAATAATGTTGAGCCATGAACCAGCTGTTTGGCTGTTGTCTTTTCGTGTTCTGTGCTCCTGAAGTAAGAGAATAACATGTAAGTTGAATAAGCATATAATGAGTAATGACACTAACACAATCAACAAGACACGCAGATGACATATTCAAACCAGAATACCTCTATGCAAGTAGAAAGTAGAGGGGACAATTCTTTCTTCATATTTTCTCGAACGATTCCATATATCTTTTCCACATAAGCTGCAAGCTGTTGCTTGAAAAGCAAAGCCGGATACTTTGCTTCAACTTGATGTTCTACATCAAACGAACCGCTCGAAAGACTATTTGACGAGCGGAAACCCTGAGAAACACCATTGTATTTCGTATTTGAGTTTAATGTCATTATATGTAACCATAATCACTGATTACAATATGAGGAGGCATAAATCATTAAACTTAGCACCTGAGTCATCCTCCCAAAAAACCCTGTTGGAGTGGGAGGTTTTCGCGCCGGTGCTCTTAAACATCGTTGAAGGTGAAAAAACAAAGCCGATGTATTGGACAGCCAATAAGCCATACAATTGTTATTATCCTGATCCTGCGAAAACATTGCACGTAATATTATGTCCGACCTTATGAAAGCGAGCATAGATAAATGTAATAACACAAAAATAGAGAATTTAAGACTTTTAACTCTCATGTTTATAGCTAAGTCCTAAAGTTTGATACACTTTGATCTCTAATAGAGAATAAAAATCATTTGAGTGAACAAGAAGTTACCTCTATTGCAGAACCGATCAGCTGAATAAGACGATCAAATATACTTGTCTTATCTGCTTCAAAAGATTTCCAATGTAGCAAACAATTATAAAGGGTAAATGCCGCGACAGGTTTCCCTTCAGAGAACCCGAGATCTTTTATCACACACTTGAAAAGAGCATCTACACTCTCCTACACGCAAAGAAAGCAACAAAAGTGATAGTTTCGTTAAATGCTTTGAAACTATATAACAATGTCACTAAAATCAATATATCAAAAATCAACAATTGTTTCACTAGAGTTTACTTGATGCCTCTCCATATGCGATCTCCTCACAGCTTCTGAACCAAGTGTTTTCACTGACATCTATAGAAAATATACTTTTCTTCAAAACCATGACAAAAGAACAGGAAGAGAACAGTTTTTTCTCTCGAAAAACAATTTATTACCTGATGACCATTTTCCAAAGGCTGTAATGATAAGAGAAAAAAGTGGTGGAAGTTGTCAATAGTCGATTAAGAGTATCAACATTCTCACTTAATAAAGAATATTTTTGTATTTACCGGAATTGCAGCAGGTGTTAACTTGTCTGTCATTCTCTTGGATGATGAGGTCAACAGTGCTTGCTTCCGAAAAATTTGATTCTCGGTTTCCATATCAGAAAGCTTTTCTTCAAGCCTGGTATGCAATGATGTAAACATATCAAATAAAACATGCATTTTTTCAATCTTGCATTACAAGAAACAAAATTTGTTATAAAAACCTTTGCATATTCGTCTTTATCTCAATCATCTTTGATTCCGTTTCTATAATTTGATTCATCCGCTCCTCGCTAATCGTGCTGCTTTCTTCGTATTTCTTTTCTGTCTCATCAATTTTCCTTTCCAATGAACTAACCTGATCCTGCAAAGTATCAGAAGTAAAAATAATTACGGATATTAGGATAAACCGATAAAAAAGTTTCAAACACTTGACAAAATTTATACCTTAAAATGTTCCTTTTCTTCTCTAAGCTTATTAATCACTTCATTGTCGGTAAAACTAGCAGGAAACTCCTCTTTAGTTTTCTTTTCCAATGAACTAACCAGCTCCTGTAAAGCACCCAAAAATACAATTATTTCGGATACAATGACATGACATCTCGATATGCATAAAAGATAAATTTTCTAACCAATTTCTAGATAGTGCTTACTTTGAGCTGTTCATTTTCTGTAGTAAGCTTATTAATCACTTCATTATCGGTAAAACTAGCAGGAAACTCCTCTTTAGTTTTCTTTTCTAATGAACTAACCAGCTCCTGTAAAGCACCAAAAAATACAATTATTTCGGATACAATGACACGATACATCTCGATATGCATAAAAGATAAATTTTCCAACCAATTTCTAGATAATGCTTACTTTGAGCTGTTCATTTTCTGTAGTAAGCTTATTAATCACTTCATTTTCCGTAAAATTAGCAGGAAACTCATGTTCAGTTTTCTTTTCCAATGAACTAACCAGCTTCTGTATAGCACCAAAAAATACAATTATTTCGGATACAATGACACGATACATCTCGATATGCATAAAAGATAAATTTTCCAACCAATTTCTAGATAATGCTTACTTTGAGCTGTTCATTTTCTGTAGTAAGCTTATTAATCACTTCATTGTCGGTAAAACTAGCAGGAAACTCCTCTTTAGTTTTCTTTTCCAATGAACTAACCAGCTCCTGTAAAGCACCAAAAAATACAATTATTTCGGATACAATGACATGATACATCTCGATATGCATAAAAGATAAATTTTCCAACCAATTTCTAGATAATACTTACATTGAGCTGTTCATTTTCTGTAGTAAGCTTACTAATCACTTCATTTTCAGTAAAATTAGCAGGAAACTCCTCTTTAGTTTTCTTTTCCAATGAATTAACTAGCTCCTGTAAAGCACCGAAAAAATACAATTATTTCGAATACTATGACACATCTCGATATGCATAAATGATAAACTTTCTAAACACTTTCTATATAATGCTTACTTTGAGCTGTTCATTTTCCGTAGTAAGCTTATTAATCACTTCATTATCGGTAAAACTAGCAGGAAACTCATGTTCAGTTTTCTTTTCCAATGAACTAACTAGCTCCTGTAAAGCACCAAAAAATAAAATTATTTCGGATACTATGACACATCTCGATACGCATAATTGATAAACTTTCCAACCACTTTCTATATAATGCTTACCTTGAGTTGTTCATTTTCTGTAGTAAGCTTATTAACCAGTTCATTGTGGGTAACATTATCAGAAAGCTCCTGTTTAGTTTTCTTTTCCAATGAGTTAACAAGCTCCTGCAAAGCACCAAAAGCAACAATAATTTCGGAAACTAGGACACAGCTGGATTTGGACTGCACGCTGTCAAGGCCGATGCATTCACACATTCAGCATATCAGGGGCTATTGGACCAAGATTGTGACACAGCCAGAGGCATAATTTTTCCAAGCAGTTTCTATGTAATGGTTACCTTGAGTTGTTCATTTTCTGCAGTAAGCTTATCGATCAATTCATTATCAGCAACGCTTTTTTCCTGTATAGTTGGAATTTGCTCAGCCAATTTCTTTGCAGCCTCGCGTTCCTGAATGAGCTCCGCTTTAGTTTCTTTGAACTGAAGCTCCATCTCTTCCAAAGCACATTGTAATTTTTCATTTTCCTGTGTCTTGGCTTCCTCAATATCATAATGAACCAAAACAGTTAGAAAATGTCAGTACAATAATAATATCCGAGCAATACGTTAATATACACGAGGAACTTAATTTCATGCTTTAGCATTTTCATTTACTATGAATAAATATATTACCCTCATTCTCTTTTCTGTCTCTAGACACTCAGATAGTTCCTCAACTTGCTTTTCTAGATGAATTTTCGCGGCTTCTAGGGCCTTAGATTCCTTAGCAGCCTGCAGGAATGGTTTTTTTGTCAGTGAAGATGATAAAGTTCACATTTAGGAAACATATAGAACTACATATTAGAAGCAAAAAAGTAACACCATTTTAAGCTTTCGAAGTTCTCTTCGTGCATTTGTTCTCCTCCAGGAGCATTGCACTGCAATTGTTGCTTTCTTTAGCCTTTTGAAATAATTACAAGCTAAATAACATCTGTAGTAACCCTATGATTGAGCAAAAAACTCACATTAATTTAAACATACTTTATGTATAACGATTCACCGAATATCACATTGAAGGCAAGGGTAAAGAGAAACCTCAAATTTCAGTTGAGATCTAATTAGTAAAGAGAGTGAATTTTGAAATAGGCTAACTCCTACCTGAATAACAGTTGCAGCGTGTGTCCGCTTCCTGAATCGAAGTTCATTTCTAGCTGCCATTCCTCGCATGCCGGTTTGAATACAAACTGCTTTGGAGTATTTAGTTTTATAAGCACTTCTCGAAAGATACATGCGGATTTGTTTCTGGATTATCAAAGATGCGGCATCCCTTCTCAAGCATTCATACTGACGTCTTGCAAGTTGTCCTATGTTAAGTTCATATGATACATAAGTCTAAATGACTTAGAAAATGTATATAATCAAAATGTATACAGTTTTGGAGGATTCAAATAATTGATACCTCTAATAGCCCTTTGCAGTTCTATGGCAGAGAATCGCAATAAATTGTACTGTTTCTGACAAATATATGTGCGACCTTTTTTCTGAATAATGATTGCGGATCTTCCTAGGACCTCGGCACGACATGCATCTAGTTCTGCCATTTGACCTGCTCTCAGAAAAACTTTTGTCTTTCCTATCTGCAAAGAAAAAGTTCACCGAGGGTGTTTTTCTTTCTTTTTTATGCAAAAGTATCGTATCTAGCAACCATATCATCACATTCGAGTAGACTCTAATAGTAGCAAGTTTGAACATTTCGTGCTTCTTTTTTAGCATCATCTTCTATGATTCAATGTAACCAGCTAGCAAAAATTAGTACCTGATAATCTTTAAGGTTTGCTTTACCGAGAAGCCTCTTGCAAGCAGTCATCTCATCAGGGCTGCAGGTATATGTTTATTATTAATTATTTTCAGATATAGTTGTGTTAATCGAACAACTAAATTAGACAGATTTTGCAACAACAATCTAGGTGGTTAGTTATGTTGTACAATCACATTCATCTGTATGACGAGAAAAAGAAAACACAGAAAGGAGATGTAAATACCATGATTTTAGAACCTTAGGTTCCAAGATACTAAACCGCTGAACAAATTCATCAAAGTTCTTTCGAGTTGGATATCCAGCACAACTTATCCTAATTGCCTCCATTACTCCCTGTAAAAGGTATCCGTAACTTGAAACAAAAATATTCATGTCATAATAAAGAACAAGGCCAACATGGCATTGAACTCACCCCACATCGAAGCTGCTGTAGCACATCGTTGTTCTCAAATATCCCCGGCTTAAGAAGATTATTTGGCTTTACGCAACGAATGTAGTGTGGCTCAGTCGCATTCAATGTTTCAAGCAAAGATTGCAGTTGTTGCTTCATTCCATAAGCAATAAGAATTACAATGATCAATAAGTTATATACAAAAGACTTATACCTTGCATTGCAAGCATGTGCATGTTTAAAAAAAAACAGACCTTAAACTGAGTGGCTATAGAAGAAAACTTGGTTGATTTAGTAGATTCCTCATGTAAAGGTGGGAAAAGTCCTGAAACAAAGGAGCACTTGGAAGCACTGAGCAGCGCAGCGTGTTCCGGAACAACGTAGTCTTTGTTTTTATCAAGGAAAAGATCAGTTTGATAAGTGACCTGAAAATGAAAACCGTCGTACATACTAAGCTTTTAACTTCATATTTTTTGGTTGACATAACTGTGTAGACCAAAATGTATTTTACTCACATCACCAGCATAGTGATTGATGGTGAAGTCAGTTCGTGACAATTTCGGTTTGCTGAATCGCTTATTGTCCCTAAGTGTTTGATATAGCTTTTCAGCAAATGTTTCGTGCGTTGATCTTGGAAACATACTACAAAGAATAAGCAGGACAATATATAAAAGAATGACTATAAAACAAAGTTATCGCTCAAAGTATATATACGCATGCGCTAACATCACTTTGCTTGACGTAAAATGATATAACAGAACCATTATCATTAAATACATACCAGGCCTCATCCAGAAGAGCAATAACACCACCAGGTTTCTGAAGTTATAAACAAATATCAATTAGAAATATAAGAATGAGATGACAAACTGATAGAACTTTCCATGCATGGAAGGGTGAGTTGCACCTTCTCGATAAGATCAAGAACATCTTGATTATCAACGAACTCTATATAACTCCAATCGATTTCTTCCTTTGTATATTCCTCTTGCTCCATTTTGAAGACATGCTGCATAATGAAATAATCAAGTGTTAATTGAGTCTATAGAAATTGTTTACCAAATAATGATATCCAACAAAGATAGTAGAGAATTTAAACCTGGTTGAAATGTTGCTGTAACTTCTCATTTGTCAAATTGATACAAAATTGCTCGAAGCTGAATAGGGCCGATGTAAAGTTAGTTACTGTTAGAACAATAACCGTGGTTCAAAAGTAAATAGATACGAAAAATGTGAAAAGAGAACACAAGAAATTCTATCATAGAGATTGGCCAAATATGCTACGATCTAGTTTACAATAGTAATGTAATCAATCACAAAACTTTCCATAAATTTCATATGAAACTAGGCAAGAGTGTGGTTAAGAACCTGTTTGTCTTGAAACTCTCGAATCCGTATATATCTAGAACTCCAATTAAGTTCTTTGAAGTTGGATCTTGTCCAATAGAGTTGTTAATCTTGTCCACAATCCTGGATCAACAGTTGAGTACATTAGCCAATGCACATCGAAATGAGGTTTTATAACAATGTATAAACTAATTTACTTTTTTCATAAACTCGACACGAATTACCAGTCAAAAAGCCTTGAATAAACAATTTTAGCCAATGCATCTCTACTGAGAGCTGCAGAGTTTGGATCAAGGCATTTTGTTATAGCCTCGCCACGAGTCACCATAAGGCGTTTGCAAAAAGAGTCTTCAAGGGACTTTACATCGCACCTGCCATAACGTGTTCCACGTCAGTGAAAATTGATTTTCGTTAAAAGCTAGTTGAACGTAAAACTTCAAGCGTAAATTCACTTACATCAAAAGTTCAGCCGCGGTTTTTAGATGGAAATAAGATTTTTCGTCTTTTGGTTTAGAGGAATCCATTCCTTCATCCACTGCCTTGACAAATTCAATGTTTCCTAAATGAAGTACAGCGGCTACTATTCGAAATATAGCATCCTGATAAGAGATGGATGTCGTATGAAAAATTCCGAATGAAAAAGTACAAAAAATTATGGAAGGACTATTCAATGCAGAATTTGAACGTACTGTTTCATCAGCGCTGATTCCAACAACTTCCATGGCTCTCCTTGTTGCAAGATACTCCTTTGAATCATCCAATGCATCCAGTTCATAGCAATTTGATTGATTAAGATAATGAAAGGTTCTTGGATTTCCCAATTTGAACCGTTCAACATCCTCTTTTGGTGCAGCACAAAGCATATAAAAGCAATGATAATTTCTCTCGGGATCAGAAACTTGACAAACACGTGATCGTTCTAGCAAATAAGTTCTGATAGCAGCTCCTGAAATTCTCCCCTTTTGATCAAACTGAATCTCCACAAACTTACCAAAACGACTGAAATTATACTATGTAAGCTTAGGACAGTCTTTAAAATAACAATTAAGCGAAATAAGAATATTATAAAGATTGCAAAGTTTGTAAGAAATGAATACCTTGAATTATTATTCCTAAGCGTCTTTGCATTCCCGAATGCTTCTAAAACAGGATTGGACTGCATAAGTGCATATGATTAGCAGAATGTTGTATCAAAAGAGACACGACTGTGACACATGTGATTACATGTTAGTGTCAGGGGCATGTTTGGTGCCAGTGCTTGATATATATAGTTTTTCTTACCTCGAGAACTTGTTGCTCCACAGACCGTCCCTCAGTTGCCGCTCTCCCTCCCAAATAGGCAAGATAATGCATAAGCATCTTTGTACTTTCGGTTTTACCAGCTCCACTTTCTCCACTAACCAAAATTGCTTGGCTTTTTTCTTCATTTATCATCTTCCTGCATGTACTTATCTCTTTAAGTCACTGCTCTCACATCTTATTCACAATGTTGTATCATTTGTAACGATTTTATGATGTTAACCGAAGTTATTACATATTGCAGATGGATTATAAAGAAAAACTGGAGTAATAGTTATAGCATTTATGCAAGAAAATTAGAAGCAGCAACAAGATACCTATATGCATAACCTGCAATTGCAAAAGGATGTGGACTCTGCTCACCAAAAGACGCGCCTTTATACTTTGCCATTGTACTAGTTGCATACAAATGAGGCAACCTTTGAAAAGGGTTCACTGCTATCAATATGTTTCCCGTGTATGTCTGCACGCAAGACACCATCACCAAAAGTTTAACACTTGATTTATTTATCACAATACGCAGAAAACACAAAACACGAGTGTGATGTGATCTATTACATATATATCATTCAGGGTATAACGAATTTGCAAATTTTGAAGTACTCCCGGTTCGTGCAGATATGCAAGTCTTGTCATATCTTCTACGCCGTTAGGTGGAAACTCAGGATCTTTCGGGTAAATATTAGCTGATTTGCTCACAACCTGCAATACAAATTATAAACTTTTTAAGTCTGACCTCAACAACATAAACTACGAAGCACTAACACATATACAGATACCAGAGACAACATCGACCCTGACACATAGATTCTCACCTTTGTTCCTGATTCAAAGCTAACGGTGATTTCATTATCTTTAGATTCAAGGATTTCTCCATCTAACCAAGCTTGATCAGGGTCCTCAACCCAAACATGAGATCCGACAAAATAAGTGAGTTGAGCAGCCTGTACATTCGAATACAAAATCAGTCCTTCTACATAAAACTAAAACCAATTGCACAAAAGCTTCTAAGAAGAACTTGCACACACTAAAGAAAATACAAAGTTAAACCGAATAAAACCAAAAGCTAATAGTACTAATCGAAGATAATTAAAGAAAGTAGATGATTACCATTGTTAAATGAAATAGTATGCACCAAAATCAGCTGCTCAAACCTGAAATTCCATCAACAGAATCTACCAACCAACTTGGACTTTTCAATCTCTGAGCTTTCTTGTGTTATACTCAATCAATCTCCAAGCTAAAGAGTAATTAATTTCTTGCTGATAACAACTTCTCAATCTCTTCACGGAAAGAAACTTGCTAACAAAGTCGGAAGATAAATGTAAAAACTATACGAGTCGTCGGCGTGGGAAAATGTCGTTGCAGAAGAGGCTTCAGAATCACACAAGAAGAATAATTTCCAACCTTATGTTAATTAAACCCCTCCTCTGCAACTATCTCCCCTGAATTATTTCCTTCCTTGTTTATTTCTAAGGCACAACAAAAATCTTCTTCTTCTTCTTCTTTGTATGTTCCCCAGCAATGAATGTGTTACAACATGATGATAACATGATACATTATTATTTCCGACATGTCCATGTTCATGTTCACGTGTCACTAAACAACGTTGTTAAAACCATTCCATGCAAACCCTTTTGTCGTTGACATCCAAAATTTTCATCTTCACCAAATAACATTTCTTGTGAAATGAAGAAAATCTTATAACATCATGTGTTGTTGTCTTGTCGTTGATGATCCTACGATGATGAATGAATTTCTAAAAAAAATATAAAATTAATTGTTGGGGACAATTAAAATCTACACGTTTGTTTCAATAAAAAAAACCAGCCTCCATTGTCATGAATGATCCTACCAGTGTGGTTGTTTTTTAACCAGTGAAATGAATCTGAATTTTTTTTTTCTGGAAAAAATGTATCTTTTTTATTTTCAGAATTTAATGGTTTAGAAAATGTGTTTTTTTAATAGTTGAATATTGTATTGTATTGGTGCAATGGTGGCACGTTAACAGATATGATGATACCCGTATTAAGGAAAAATCGGAGATTCAACTAACTGTTCTGACGCGCTTAGAGCTACACTATTTCCTATTTTTATTTTTATGTTTATTTTATTATGATTATTTTTACCAAATGTTTGCAATAACAATAATTATTGATGTGATTTTTTTTTGTCTGTGTTGAATATGATCATACATGTATATTTATATATAAAAGAGGTTTACATAATAGATAATAATATAATTTATATTTATGACTAATTGAATATCAATCCATACTAATAGATTATTAACGAATTCTTAACACTCTCCCTCTAATCGGATCGTATATATTGTATGATCCGAGTTTGTTATAAATATAATTGACTCGAGAACCTTTGAAAGACTTGTAAATATATAAGCTAATTGATCTTCAGATTTGACAAATTTTGTGTTTATTTCTCCTTACAGTACCTTGTCTCTTACATAGTGACAATCTATTTCTATGTCATTTGTCTGTTTATGGAAAACCGGATTGGATGAATGTGAAGTACCGCTTGATTGTCACATATGAGTTTTGTGGCCTGAAGGTCTTCCAACCTAAGTTCTAAGAGCAAACTCTTAAACCATGCAAGTTCCTTTGATGCTGCTCCCATATCATGATATTAAACTTAAACACTATATAGTGCAATTGTGTTTTGTTTCTTGCTTCTCCATGAGATCATATTTCTTCCAATAAGAACACAATATCCAGAAGTGGATCTCCTATCCGACGGTGACCCTGCCTAGTCTGCATCTGAATAACAAGTGATTTTAGCATCACCCTTATCTTCATATAATAGGCCTATTCCTGATGCATTCTTTATATATTTGAGAATCCGAATAACTACACTCCAATGAGTATCATAAGGAGCGTTCAGGAATTGGCTCACAATGCCCACTACAAAAGTAATATGCGGCCTGGTGACATTAAGATAATTGAGTCTACCCACTAGACGTTGATATCTTCCCGAGTCTTTCAATAACTCCCACTGATCCTGAAGAAGCTTGACATTGGAATCCATAGGAGTATCAATCAGACGACAGTCAAGCATACCGATTTCAGTCAGGATGTCTAATGCATGCTTACGTTGGTTAATTGCAATGCCTGATGAGGACTTAGTAACTTTAATACCTAAGAAGTATCTGAGTGGATCCAAATCTTTTGTCTGAATTTTTTTGAAAATATGAGTTTTTAGTCGTTGGATACCCTTTGCATCGTCTCCAGTGACAACAATGTCATCAACACATACCACAAGAAAGATACGCTAACCGGTGGAGAAATGAATGAAGAAAACAACGTGATCTGCTTCACATCTAGTCAGACCCAAATGTATCAAGGCAGAGAGTTGAAGCAACCAAACCAAGCACGTGGAGACTGTTTCAACTCATAAAGAGATCGATTAAGCCGACAAACAAGTCTTGAATTTCCAAGAATAGTAAAAACTGGAGGTTGATCCATATACACTCTCTCCTCCAATTCTCTGTGTAAAAAGGCATTTTTAATGTCCAACTAATGAAGCGACCAATGATTAGCAGCCATTGCAAGTAAGAGAAGTACTGAATTAATCTTGGCTACTGGGAAAAAGTGTCACCATAATCAAGGCCAAATATCTGTGTGTATCCCTTGGTTACCAGACGAGCTTTGAAATAATCAATCTGACCATCTGGTCCAACTTTCACTGTATAAACCCATCGACATCCCACTGTAGTTTTGTCTGAAGGTAAAGTAACAATGTCCCAAGTACTCTTTGAATGTAATGCATCCATTTATTCCACCTGGCGCTAATTGGGATCGGTCATAGCTTCACATGAAGACTTAGGAATAGACAAAGAATCCAAAATAGACATGACAAAAACATATGAAGTAGAAAGACGGTCATAATTTAAAACACAAACATATTTAGGATTTGGATTATGAGATCGAATACCTTTTCGTAATGTAATTGGAAGGTCAAGTTCAAGTGACATAGCTGGAGGGACAGTTGGAGCAGGAGATGGTGATGGTGGATCAATATCATTTCTAACTTATGATGGATAGGGTGTCCGTCACTGATAGACATGCAATGAAGGTTTAATGGGTGTGAGAATGACAAAAGGGATATCTCGAACATCTAAATTACAAATCTCATCGGGCTACACAGATTTAGAGAAAAAAAGGGAACCTTCAAAAATGTTACATCGAAAGAAACAATGTATCATTGAAGTTGAGGACAAAAACAATGTAACCAAGTGCCAAAGACTCTGAAGATAAGATTCTGAAAGGACAAGTTCTGAAGACTCCAAGACTTAGGTTCTAATACTTAAAGAGTGAATCTTCTATAACAAGTTTCAACGTTCAACATTCAAATATCTGAAGCCTCTGATGATAAGAAGAAGTTCAAATGGTTAACATGTGATGTTGTACAAAAGGTACATAAATTGTTTGTGACCTCTATCCTCTAGGGTGGCGTAAGGACATTCCTTTTAACTGTATTATCAACCACTCTCATTGTGACCGTTGGGAACAAACGGATGGATTTACATATATGTTTATTTAATTAATGGATCTATATTTACAAGCTTAATAAAAAGCATTATTCATAGAAAAGGTGGAAGTTGTCATTGAACAATGAAAGGATATAGAAATATTATTTTGTACAGTCTAAACTCTTACACCTTATTCTATCCGTTGAGAACTAACCATTGCTGGAGGTAAAAACTTTTCTATCCTCACAATGCCTCTCTCTTTCAAGGCTATAAAAGAAGATCAAAGATTCAAAGGAAAGTTGTCGTTATCCATCAAGATTAAATGATGTAGATGCTGAAGATGTCAAAGCTGCAATACTACACATTCTGAAGACCACCATAGAAGAGAGAAAAGAAAGAAAGAAGAAGAAGATTTCAATAAGATATAATTCAACTATCATCATATACATCTTGGATGAAACAGAAGAAGAAAGGATTTGTTGATCGTAGCTTGCTCAATGAAAAAGAAGATTCTACAAGATGCTCACCAACTATCATCACATACATCTTGATAGATCTCAAAAGAAGAAATGAGTTATTGCTCGGAACTTGCTCAATAAAGAAGAAGAACGCTACGAGATGTTGTAATTGGTTTTAAAATAAGAGTTGCCACCGTTAATTTTTATCCTAAGGAAGGGAATATAAATGTTAACCCTAAAAAGTCAAAGATTTTAGGTTTTTTTGACTCAGTTTTAGACAAAGGGAAGGTGTTAGACACCCATCATCTACCTTGTTCACAAGGATACTAGGTTTAGAATTAATCTTTAGGGAATAGGGTTTTTTAGTATTTTATTAGGGGACCTCGCCTCGATTTTAGTCGTATGCCTACTGAAGCCACCGGCAGAAAATACAGAGCCGCCACCGAACTTTATTTATCCCGAAGGAAGGGGAAATATCGATAAAACCACAAGGGAATGGATAAGATGGTCTTGCGACCAAGAGAAAGGGTAAGGGAGTCGGTTACGCTAGGGGAAGGTATTAGCACCCCTCGCATCCGTTGTACTCAACGGGATCCGTTTTGTTTGTTTGTCTCAAAGGGTGTATTTATCTACAACTATGCTTGCTTAAGGGAAAATGGATGGTTTTTATTATTGCGTTCGTGAGGGTTTCGCGACCCTTTGCCTACGTATCTAATGAAGGAATCAGAACACTGTAGTTCCTCTAGAAAGTGGTTTGTTTGTTTGTGTTTTTTAGTGGGCGACGTTAACGTATGCATTCTAGCAATAGGCACGACCAGTATCGCGGTAGAACAGAGATAACATGCCCTTCAGGGGAAGGTTTGATTTGTTGAGTGTTTTTGCGAGGCCATTGCTGGAGGTAAAAACTTTTCTATCCTCACAATGCCTCTCTCTTTCAAGGCTATAAAAGAAGATCAAAGATTCAAAGGAAAGTTGTCGTTATCCATCAAGATTAAATGATGTGGATGCTGAAGATGTCAAAGCTGCAATACTACACATTCTGAAGACCACCATAGAAGAGAGAAAAGAAAGAAAGAAGAAGAAGATTTCAATAAGATATAATTCAACTATCATCATATACATCTTGGATGAAACGGAAGAAGAAAGGATTTGTTGATCGTAGCTTGCTC